GTTAAATGGGGTTTTTCTCACAACTGTTGCTACGTGCTCATCCAGGAAGGGATTAATGCTGAAGTCAATGACTTGATCCCATTTTCTGGGTGTCCCTAGACTGAAAACGTTTTAACCAATCTGTCTGTAATATATGAATGAGCTAATTTAAAAAAAGGCGTAAGATTAAAAAAAAATATATTAAATTAAATGTTCTCCATTGATTAAGTACCATTTCAGGCTTAAGATAACATAAATGAATTGCAGCTCTAGTGCAGACTGATAAAAAAAAAAAAAACACACACACACACACACAAACACAACACACACACACACACAAAACAACATACATACTTTTCTTCCACATTATAATATCCACTATACACTCTATGTGAGTGTGTCACCCAATTATGTAAAATACATTAAAATATTTGGTTTTAAAAATAAACCAGAAGGAAAAAATACAAACTCTTGACCATTAATGACAAGCTTGAAAAACAGCCAACAGGATTTTTTTTGAGGAGCCCCCACTGTGATTATATGTTTCCTGTTTGAATTCTTACTGAGCCAACTCATTGGGTCGATTCGTTCGAGTGAACACAAAGAACTGTTTCGCTTTATCCGAAAATTGCTTGATTGTACTTCTAATAACACATGAGTCATACCGATACAACACAACTTTACACATTATTTTTTTGTAATTACAAAAAGCTAGTAAATAGTCTATATTAAAGTCCCTCAGTCATACAATTTATGACAATGTTCCTATCACTTGTCATCAAGAACCAGGATCATACTATTGGTAGCATTTTTGAATCGGTGTTTAACATAATTGTTAAATATTAAAAGTGTATTTATATATTAAAGTTGTTCAAGAAATGGTAGAGCGTTTAACGCTGTTGCAAAGTATAAGAACCTACTCCTTTAACTTCTAACATGAGACGAATCCCTGAAAAGAGACGGCATTTTTCTCCCGAGTCTTCTCTGGAACGTTTTACGGCAGCCGGAGTCACTTTACGTTAGCGGTAAAGCGATGGGCTAGCTGACGATAATGATTTGAGATAACGGGGCATTGTAACGTAACTTTACACAACTTTAGTGGTTTTTGGGTCGTTAACTCAACATTTACTTTAATATCTATAGTTAACTAACACCAGTCACTCAGCCGTCCCGAAGTACTCAGTTTTATCTGTACCCAGTGTCCCACTTTTAGCCAGTCATTGCTATGGCCTCCGACAGCGGCGACAGCAACATGGATCGAGAAATGATCCTGGCCGACTTTCAGGTGGGTCTCTGCTTGTTTTTCTCCGGCATAGTGTACAGTTAGTGGTGCTCTGTCTGTCAATGTTAAAACAAATTATGTTGATGTCATCAGAAAGTATAACTCTGCCCGTTGGAAACAGAAAATATCTTAGAGTTAGCACACAGAGCTAACTAACTGACAGCTTGGCAACGGACTCTGAACACACAAACCGAAAGCTCTGTGTTTACATTACAGTCTGTCGAAACTGCTGGGCCCTGTATGATATACTATTATTATTCAGTGACAGTTTAACTAAAATTCAGCTTCTGCACTCAATAAAACTAATCATGTTTACACATTACCCCTTGTCGTTCCAGCTTGTAATACTTACCCATCCTGTAATTCTATCTCCAGTCAACTCCATCTCCGATTGCTATTAACTTGTTTCTAAATCTACTAGTTTTATTCTTCTCAACAATTCTAATCTGTGATCCTCTGCCTACAAGTGACAGGTGAAGGACTGAGTTCAAAGTGGCTTGACTGATGTTTTTGAAAATATTAAGGCACGGAGGAAAATGGGACTCCAAATCATCTTTTTAAAAGAACCATAAAGTTAGCCAATAAATGTTTCCCCTCTTGGATCAATGCTTCCTGATTGAATAGATGTTCACCTTATATAGTGATGTTAAAAACAAAACAACTGTCAGTACTGGAAATTGAGTAAAGTTGCAACTAAAAATTGGCCAGTATAGTTTTGTCTTTTTTTTTTTAAGGTCGATGCTAATACCAGTTATTTTGAAATTTTTTTGCTTAAAAGACCTATGAGCCTGTAGAACTATTTAAGATACAATAAAAAAGTAAATATATTAATATTCACTACTTTATTGTGATATACACTTCAATGCATGCAACCAGGCTCTGTAACACACAGACATCATCAGTTTTCAGGTGAATGTGCTAGTAATTGAACTTCACAATGACACTATAACAACATAGATTGGGTCATCTGGTAGGAACCCGAGTCACTGTGTTTATGTCCAAAATTATTTTAAGCAAACCACAAGGACATAATTATGTTATTAGACCAATTGAACGTTATTGAACAGTTCCCCACATCCATTACACAAAGAAATCAACATCAAAATAACACTCTATAATACTATAGTTACGTTAAACTGCACAAATAGATATGAAAGTGTGCGGCACTACTTTGAGCTTTGAGCTACAGGCAGGGTAACATGCCTGGTTACATATTGAGATGTGCTCTGGGGTTGTGGAGAGTCTCTCATGAGAAATGCATTTCTGCGCCATATTTCCTTATTGTTTTTATCATTAGACTATGTAAATTTACTATTCTGCTGCTGTGAGCGGGATTTCTCTTTACTTGGCGAACTCTAACTTGCTTGTTGTGAACTTGTGTTGATTAGGCCTCAAAATAAATAAATCAAAATCAGAATACACATAATAGTAAAACAAAAAAGTCAAAATCATTTCCCAAAATATTCAAAAGAACGGAAAAAGCTTTGAAATAACATTTCCATTGGTGTTTAATAGAGGCACTAGGTAGATGTTTATACATAATCAGTGTTTGTTTTCTCTTGCATTCATCCAAAACATCTAAACTTGAGTATTTCATGGATTTTTGTTAAATAGAAATAGAAAAGTAAGAACGCTGGCTGGATTTTTGCGAACGTCACCAGTTAAACCTCTTGAACCTTTGGTGTTAGAAAACTTTGATATTAAGCATTGACACTTGTTTAACTTTTCCTGTGCTGAAGAGCTATTTCCAGGCCTATTTTTACTATTTTTAAGCTTCTCTAATGTGGCATCTTTTGTGATGTAAGAGAGAGATGTTACAGCAGATCTAAATTTTGCATGCTTCGTATAACAGTAACTACATTGTCACATGTACTTTCTGTTTTTCTTTCGTCTCACAGGCTTGTACTGGAATTGACAACATCGCGGAGGCAATCACCCTGTTAGAGCTTAATAACTGGGACTTAGTGGTAAGTTTAATATCCTTGGTAAGGCTTTACTCTTGGACATTCAGGGTGTATTCACACCTGCCTCATTTGGTCTTCTTTAATTGGACCAGTGTTTGTTTCCCCCCTCGGTCCACGCCAAACAACTGGACTGAGAACAACTTTTTAAGGTGGTCTCGATCAGCTTCCAAATGGACTCTGGTGCAGTTCGCTTCAAACCATCCTCTGTCTAACCCAAATGCAGGAAGCATACTTCTCTTAAATTTCAACAAGCAAGCATAGTAGGAAACATCAGATCAAATCAAACCTGTTCTGCTGTCTGTTGCTTAGCAACACTGGTATCAGCAAGTGGTGGATCTCCCATTTTCCCACTATTTTGAACGATAAAATTCTTGAATTCTACATTGAACGAGCTTCTTTAGACATTCGTAGTGAGTTTGCAGCTGTAATGACAAAATAAATATGCAAAAAAGATGTTGCGTGCAGAAGTCCCATTGTAGTCTACATCTATTTCCAGTTCTGTCCACCGTCCTGCCGTAGACATTTCTGACCAATGGGAGCAGCGATCAGCACAAGTGTGGCTGTGTTTTGACTTATAGTCTATTTGGAGAAAACTGCAATTTGAATACAGCCCCGGACCAAAAAAAAAAAGGTCTGCTTTTGGTCCGGACCAAAAAAGTGCACCTAAGTCTTTTCAGATGTGAAATAATCTGTTCAAGTTTCAGGAGAGCTGTTATCATCCGGTGGCAGGCAGTTTTCTTCCATGCGACCTTCAGCTTAGCAGGCAGTTATGAAAATGTTTAAGTCCTCATTGGTTTAAGGGAGGGAATGTAGTTTTTAGAAAGACTGGGTCCAGTCGGGTTTACATTAATTCATGATGAGCCCTTTAAAGTGATGTCCTGTCTGGAAGGGTCAGTCTATAATTAGATGCATGCTGGCAGGAACTCAGCAGCAGCGCAGACAGTGGGAATGGACTTCCTGCTGCTGTGGATCTGATGACTTGCACTTTCTCTGCAGTGGGTGTTGTTTTCTGTTTAAAAAAGAAAACTAAAAACTAAATTAAAAATGAAATAAGCACTCCTATGTGCGATGTCAAGTTTTGGACAGTGGGAGATAAGCTAAGCTGTCAAGAGACTTTTTTTGACTTTTTTTTTTTTCTTTTTTCTCCTCTTCAGCTACCCTCCGATTTTTACATTTTGTTTGGAGGAGGGATGAGTCCCTGGTATAACTTGCGTTCTCTAGCTATAACAGCTGCTGCAGCCTGATTAGGTCCTCCTGCTTATCTGTTTTAGTCACATGTCACAGTAAACGTTTACTCTTCAAAACTGAAACAAAAACTAAGGTGTCTACTCTTTTTACTTGGGTTAGAACACATAAACACTACTGTACCTTTTACATTTAAGTCTGAGTTGTTTTTATTAAAAGCACAGTTGCTGCTATCAATCTCTTAATAAACAAGGACAATAGCCCTCATATCAAACATGCAATTGGAGCTAAAATGGCCGTATGGCCATTTGCATGCTTTATTTAGTATTGTATCATCAAGGTGGTGCTAAAGTCCCAAAGCTTGGTGTTCAGTCCTGTATGCAGGTTTATATCAGTGTGGAGAAGGATGGGAAATCAAGTTTAAATAATAGTCTCTGGTGCAACGTTACGGTTGTTGGTTATACTTGACTAATCAATTTGATCCATTAATCTATTCTGAAGATAAGACCTGATAAGGAAAGCGGTAAGTAAAAAAAAAATAGACCTATAGCTTTTAAGATGGGATGCATTTTTAGAAATCTGTGTCTGGGCTTCTGATCTCTCAGTAGGACGTCTGTAATGATGGACTGTGTATGACTGATTACTGCTGCTTGTACGGAGCAGTTAATTGGCCGCCTGCAGGATCCTTACTGGTTTTCTTCAGGAGAATTAAGCAGTCAATGTCAGAGACCATTTTTATTTTAAAGAAATGTTTAAATGAAGTATATTTTTATGTAGAGTTAACAAGATATTCCCAACCTTTAACAGTGTTCTCCTACAGAACTGAGTTAAACTTTTGAGTTAAATTTTTAAACCTTGGTTTGGATTTTATATTTAGTCCCTCCTCGTGACTATTAATCAGTTTACTAAGCCATTCTATGTTACAACTCTGAATGAAGTTTGATTGCATTTCTATGTCCACATAATCAACTTAATGTCTTTATAGTGTTTATAGTATACAGTTGTATTGTTAAAACAATCCTGTTTTCTATGTTCCATTTTAGTGCTAGGTTTAGTTCACTACCAGTAAAAAAAATCTCTGGCCTTTCTCTCAGCATGTTTTTTTTTTTTTTTATATATAAAAATATTCTCATTAACAAGAAATCTCCTTTTCACTATTTGAACACATTTGATTGTGCTTTCTGCTCTAAATTATGAACTTGGCTTAGAAAAAGGAAGGAAAAACAAACTAGAGATGGATTTTGGAGACTCATTGAGTGAGCTTTACCCCCTCTAGAGTCAGTGTTTGGATTGTCTCACTTTTGATCAGCATAGAACACTGATACAAGTGGAGGAAATAAAAAAAATGTCTGTAGATCTAGTTTATTCCAGATAAATAATAAAACTTCCTGCATTCCTTCCGTGCTTCCCTTCCTCCTTCCTTTGCTGTCTGCTTCCTTCTATCCTCCCTCCTTCCTTTCTTCTGTTAAACTCGCCAGACCTCCTTCCTTCTTACTGTTCTTTCTCCTGACCTTCTCCTTGTATCTTTTCCATTTTACCCTCCATTCTGCCCCTACTTTAGTAAAACTATTGAGGCTTTACTGTTAAACTAGAACAACCTAGCTGACATTGTTTTTCCCTGTTGTTTTGCATAGACTGGTGACCGTTCTAGTGAACCAATTGTTCACTGAAAACAAAAGTTCACCTGTAGAGCTAAAAGGGGTTATATCTGTCTTTTCAGTTCTTTGAATACTCCAGCGGGCACATTCTGTCATCGTTGGTGTGTTTAAATGAAAATTTAAGTCAGCAACTCTAAGTGTCCTTTTTCATGTCAGTGTCTCTGTGAAATAAGCTCTTTTTATTGTGGCCCGTTTCTCTCTTTGTTGTGAATTGCTTTATTGCTTGAGATAACCTAGATTGAACTTTTTGTATTACACAGCCTGTTTAACCAGCAAGTCTCTTAGTGATTTGTGCTGTACATGAACACATTGATAGGAATGTATTGTTAAAAAACGTGTTTCTGCTTTTTTACAGGCAGCCATCAATGGGGTGATACCACAGGAGAATGGGATCTTACAAAGGTAATGGCTGCTTGACTCTCATTGACTGTAAATCAGATAATATTGTTTGGTTATTGGCATAAATATATAGAATTTCATCCACAATAATAAAAAAATACTTTTATTTTAGAAATGTATCAATTTTAATTTATTTAACATAAAGTTAAACTCTGATATTCCATAAATTCATTAAATACAATTTCATTCTACTGAACTATAATGTTAATTGTAAGGATTATTGCTTAAAGCTAATTAAAACTTAAAAATTGAATTTTAAAATATTCAAAATTAGACCTTGATTTGTATGATTAATCAGTGCTTTAATATGATCAATATGAGAAGAAATAATTATTCAAAGGTACACATTTACTTAAAAATTGAAAAAGATTCATTAACTTTTTCTAAACATGTGAAACACATGCTGGGCTCAGACTGAATACAGTGCTGAGACTGCACTAAACTATATTCATTAAAATCAATGCATACTCTTACATTAGCCATGGTGCAGTGTGGCTGTGATTACCCAGGCTGTGTGGCTAAACTAAGAAGGACGTTTGGCTGGATGTCACGTGTCTAGGGATGCACAAGTCAAACAAGAAAAGTCTGGCAACAGACGGTAAAGAGCTCTGGGAAATTTCAGGATGAAGCCAACCCAGTAACTTCTGCTAACTTGGCCATTGTAAACAAAACATCAAAACAGAAACATGAGAAAAAAAGGATGAAAAGGGATATTTATGCTTATTCATACAAGTTTTGCCCTTGAAGCCTACTAAAGTCCATACGCCCACGTGATCAGGGTGCAAGCTAACGCTAACACATTTCTGTTTGCTCTTGTATTGGAGGTTAACATAGCTCATAATAAGACTGGTCGTTTTGCTGCTTGCTGCTTCAAATCCACGTCAATCTGAAGCAGAGTGGATCGCTCAGGCAGGAATCACATGTGCAGACTTCTGGCCTCATTTCCTGGACCGTTATATAATAACAAATAATGTTTATGCAGTTAATTAAAAGCCCTAATAAAGGTGATCATTAGACAAAAGTATAAATGGAAAAACTGAATATTTGAATTCAAAAACAAAAGGAAAAAAAAAAAAACATAACATATGGTGATTAAATTAAGAGCTGGCATGCAAGACACTGGTAGAACTAGTGAAACAAACACTTTACTGGTTTATTGTTCTATTTAAAGCCTACAAGTACACTACTTTAGCGCGACGATGCAATCCTGACGCGATCAGTGTCTAACTGTGCAGAGTCTCTTCGCTCTAAAAAGGCTCCCGGTGGAATATGGTGTCTGGGAGAAGCTGAGATGCGTATGCTCTGCTTCCACATTCAAATACAACGAACGCTCTCAGCCAAAAACAGGGGTGTAAAGCATTTCCTTTTTTAGAATATTTGAACTCTTCTTTTGATACTTCTGCCATTCAATCTTTTAAATCCTTTTAATCAGGAGACATTTCTGTTAAACTGTTATTTTTTTGTCGACAGTGCATGCAGCCCAGTGCAGTTTGGTTCGTCAGGCCATGAGAAATTGGCAGCTCTCTTGTGAGGACACAGATCGCTTAGAATAGAGACTGACTGTGACTGGGGCGGGCCAACACATTTACTGAAAGGCTGGTGCTGTTATGAGAAGGCTGCTGATGCAGCATGTACATCAGCATAAAAATCCTTTTGGGATAAAGTAAAAGATTTTCTGTTATTTATATTACTGCTGGGACCTTAGGACTTTTTTTCCCTTTAAAAAAGATCTTTACAAAAACTGGAATTTCAATTTCTGGTCTTTGTGGTCAGTTCTTTAAGCAACTGCCTTTATCTCTGTGCAGTGACTTTACCAGCGAGGCAAGTCAGGCCACCATGTATGGACCCCCCAGCCGATCAGAAGCAGCAGAAGCGGCAACAACAAGTGAAGGTCCAGCCCCTTCTTCATCCTCTTCCTCCTCCTCTCCTCCATCGTCCTCAGCTTCAGCGTTTTGCCCCATCAGCCCTTCTTCCCGACACATTGTAGAGCGCCAGCCACGCATGATAAACTTCAAGGTGGATTACAGGGAAAGATCAGTTGAGCTCATGCTTGAGGAGAGCAGCACAGTTGGTGAGCACCACAAACATCACCCCTCATTTATGATAAGAGTTTCCTCTAAGAAATTATAGTGTTTGGTAGAGTCGCACCAATTAGGTCTGTCTATGTCAGGCACATCCCGCTAGAACCAATACGGATTTCATCGTTTTACTTTTGGCTTTATTTTGAGGTCCTAACTGCCATTTGAATTTTAGACTGACTGACTTTTTGTCATTTATGCTCAGGGCCAGTAGACATGGGCTAAAAAAAGTGCTTAGTCGTTTGGTTTGTATTTTTTAATCGAGGCATAAACTGTAAATTCAACAGTGCAAAAGCTTGTGAGAATATTCCTGTTTTATGTCACTGATCGTCCCTTAACCTCATAAAACTCACAGGAGATATTAAGGGAATCCTCCAGACAGAACTTGGCATTCCAGCATCCAAAATGCATCTGAAAGGATGGAAGAGTGGAGACGTCTCAGATAGCGTGAGTTCCTGTTTTTTTTGTTTTTGTTTTTGTTTGTTTTGAAAATGAATTACCCACATTTTTGGTTTTAACAATTTATTGTTAAATTAATGTTAATGGAAAGCATTCCAGATTAGATTACTAATTCCAACATTACATTTCCAGTAAAGGAAAGAAGAAATATTTAATGAGTGTGTATTGGTTATTGTCTCTGTGTGTAATCAGACGGTGCTGAGAAGTTTACACCTTCCCAAGAACAACAGCCTGTATGTCCTGACCCCCGACATTGCCCCTACTGCCAGCACCAGCAAAAACAGGTAATATTCACTACAATTCTCTTCACAACTCGCCTTCTTCTTTTACTTTCATAAGAAATCATAATAATTCATTAAATCCTGTTTCACAATTAAGATCATATGCAAAATAAATTGTCGTTGCCCCTCATTTGATGAAGGAAAAAAAACTCAATGGGCACAAAAATAGTTTGAATCAAACAAAACAAATAATTTTCTATGAAAACAAACAAATGAAAATTAGATATTGCTTTAAAATAATGATAAAAAAAGAATAAACTAATGTAAAAGGCCTGACCAAAATAATTATACTCCTAGAAAAGAATGAATATAATGTGACCAAAGGCACAAGTTAAATCAAGTAGTGTCCACTAATAAACATCCGTCTGCAATCTTGTAATCAGTTATTGGTTGGATATATAGGGCTACAAGTAGTCACTGTGCTCATACACACCATACTGCCTTTATTTATAAAGCATATTTACTATCACTTATGAAATTCCACTTACTCAACATTAGCCTGACCATTGTAGGGTTTTCTTTTATTAAACAAGGGGGACTAATCATTTTGTCCAGGTATACATTATTTTGAGTGCAGTACTTACTGGTGAACTCCAGGTGGAGCAATATGCCAATTTATAAACCAACCAACCAACAAAAATCTTATGGATTTATCAGGCTACATTTGACCTGGCTTTGCCTATTCATTTCCTCACATCCAATGTGACATTTCGAAAGGAGCGCCAGCTACCAAAGTCCGCGTTTGTTATGTAAAAAATCCTTCATCCACTTCTTATGTATTTTATTTCAACACAACAGTGTTTCTTGTTGAATGTAGCCTTATATCTAGTGCTGGGGAAGTTTTGTGTATCATCCACACAAATTTTTGGTCTCTGCTTCTTCAGAATCACAGACATACACAGTTTTTCCTAAAAAGTCAGTGATAACATATGATGTATAATCTTTTTTTTTAGTGCTAAGCTGCGCCTTTATCAGTATATGACCTCATAGTATTTTAGTAATGCTTTTTTTTGCAGCCTTTCTGTCTAAATGTTGAGACAATAGGGGCTTTAATTCACAGCAGTAATTTAATCATAAATGGCAGGCAGATACTTATATAGTTGATGGATCAAGATGTGTTTTTAAACTAATGATGGATTAGTAAAAGTGGTCTATAAGTGTACATAGACTTGAGTGACCATGAATGATCATGGTCACTCAAGCCCGGGTAACAAAAGAGGAGGGGTGAGGGAGATCTTGCAGTAACTAGCCACAGATATATTGGGAAAAAATGAATAAAAATAAGTAAATAAAAATATGTTCTTAAAAATGTTATGAGAGGAAAGGGGGAGTCACCAACAATAGTCAGTGTGGTCATTCTGCGAGACTCATGAATTTGCTCTAAACCTGAAAGTTTTTCTGATGGTGGTGCGACTCTAAAGGTCCTACCAACATCACCAAAACCAGACTTGTGGTCATTAATGTTGAGAAGGGAATTTGAAAAGGTTAGCATGAAAAATTCAAGACAAAGATACCTTCTAATATAAAGGTTTGGCCTGATAGTGGCACTAGGGGACAGTTCAACTCACTGATTTTCAAGGGGTTATTTATATATATTTGTATATTTATTTATATTTATGTAACAAATAAAGTGCATGTGACAAAAACATGGTCAACAACATTCTGTAAATCATTTTTTGGACCATAATATCACTGGGGTCAAAGTGACCCCATGGTTAAAAATTGTTAGCATATTTGAGGGCAAGAGGAGGGCTAAGGGTCTTGCTCAGGGACCCAGAGTGGCAGTCTGTGGGAGTGTGTGGGACTTGAACTCAGAACCTCTGAGATCAAATCGCAATAAGGAAATGATTATTATTTCTATGCTTAGAATATAGAACTTTAAAGATATTCATTGAATTGAATCCAATATTTTTAATCCATTTTTTTTCTTTACCTTAAAATAATTTTGCTAAATAAGTACCTCAGTAAGAATCATCTGACACTGTCCTGTTTTTGGCAGAGCCTGCAAAGTGTTCATAGTTTAACAGTACTTAAAGAAAAAAAAAATCTTCCTCAGTTTTTACCCAAATAAGCACCCACGTCAGCAGACCCTAATGTAGGTCATTTGGCAGTTTGCCTCTTTGCTTGTTAGTTGGGCTAAGTGGTAGTTATATTGTGTTGGCAGCTAATGGCCCTCATCTTCCCGGTTTTCCCTCCCCTTCGCTCTCCTCATCTTCTCACCCCCTCTCTAACTGCTGCGTCTTTTTAGCAGCGCCGTTGCCAGTGTTATCGATATCATTTTGGGTGACAGGAGCTCATTATTTTGCAATAGCTATTTTAGCTGCGGACAGTTGGAGCTGAGAGGCCTCTATTGGCTCCCGTTGTGTATGTACATGCATTTGTGTGTGTGAACGTATGAGTGTGTGTGTTGACCCTTCTGTCATACGGGGAGAGGATAGGTGACAGATCACAGAAAAAATGAGTGAAGCAGCCCCCCTGGAGGGAGACCCAACAAGCTGTTAGCTGGAAATAAAAATACACTGTTTTCACACCATATATCCACAGTATGCTGGCAATTAGTTTTTAGTCTCCGTAAATTTGTCGCAGTAAATACGGGCCGTCAGCTTAGCTAGACGGGGAGCACATTATTGGCACAACCTTAACTCTACATTTGAATGAGTTAAAATAATCAACATTATCTTGATTTTACTTGTGGTTACTCCACTTGCTTTTACAGCTGCCATTATTAGCTCAGTTAAAGGAAAGTATGGGGGGATACATCAGTCTGATAACTTAAAATATCCTCAAACTTACACAGAGATTCCAAATGAGAATCATTTATAAAATTAACTTGTTAGGACCTTAAAGCCACAGTTATACCTATTGCGTCTAACATAATTCTGAATACTAAATATTACAGTTATAACAATGTTATCTATAAATATGTTTATTCTGATACATAGACTTCAGCAAAAAGGTAGTTTTCAAGTTGATCATGCAGAACATTTCACCTTTTTGTTGTTTAGCTCTTCATAAAGTTATGGTAGGAGAGTACTAGGTTAAGATTAGCTGGTTATTTAGTCAGGCCAGTCTTTAGTTAGCTTATAGTGTAGCAGTCTGCTGTCTTTCAGCTGAGTGGCAGTGTGCAGCAACAGGTGTGTGTGTGGGGTGGGGGGGCAGGTCTCTGGTCAAAACTATTGCAGAAAACGTTAGCGCTTTATGTAGCTTCCCGTTAGGCTGTAAACAATGGAACAGTATGTATGAAACTTTTTCCCAGTTAAGACTTACTACTTACTTGTCTTTTGAAGTCTTCTAAAAAATGTGTTTTCTTATAAATAGACTTTGCAAATGGACTTAGTTAAAAGCGTAATTATTTCTGACACATCAAAACACCACAGCACAAGATGCATATGTTTCCATTGCAGCAGATTATTTTCCACAATTATAATGTAACTTAAATTTTATTTATAAATGGTTACCGGTAAGTTGATTTGTGCAGTCTTGTACAGTGTCACCTTTTCTAATAAATTTTTTCTTATTTACTTTTTTTTAAACTCATGCATTTATTTGTACTTTTTTGCACTTGATTGAAATGCAGCTAAATAGGTCAATGTTGGTAATGAAAACACATTCAGACGTCACTCTTCACAATAAATATATCTCTGTAGTAGAATAGCTACATTGCACTGAAGTTATTAATAAAATAAATGCATTATGTATGTATTGGAGTTGACAACACAAAGTAAAAGCTTCTTTTTGTATATCAGCTACTATGGTATCACATAAAATATTTAATCTAACACAAAATGAAACCTGTTTCCTAAAATGTATTTTTATATTTTACTCAATTCTACAAGAGTAGAAATGTTTTATTGCATAAAATGCTTTACATCCACATTCTTAATGTAAATAAAAATCTCTCAAATATAGTTTTCATGGATTTGATGTACTTAAAATTGTTGCAGAGTGACAACCCAAATGTCCCATGAATCGTTTCTATGGCGATTACTTTGTAGAGGCTGCCTCCCACTGCACACACCAAAACTGAATCGAGCGATTATGCAGAGCTGCACTGTCATTACGGTCGCCCTGAGCAAACTTTCCTTGCTCGTCTTGTTTGATTAGAAATAAATCTAGAGGCTTTGGGAGATTTTCCTCTGAGCACCAATCCTCCTCAGGTAGTTATTTAGTTAGCGATGTGCAGTTAGCACTGCAGTGTGAGAGCTCTGGTCTGAGGACGGCCACGCCGATGACTCCCTGTGAATACAAGAGAGTGTTGAGGAGGAGCTAATCTCCTGCATTAATGATGAAGGCCTGATGAATATTTCAATGGAGCCTGTTTCCTTTCGTGTTTATTCTTCGCTCCAGCTCGCAGCAGGCGTGTTTGCCAATGAAAGGTTATTTTAATTTGAACTCTCAAAGAAATTTGAAATTGCAGGAGTACTCATTAGGTTTTATGTTTGTGTGTTTTTGTTTCTTTTTTTTATTGGTTTAGCTCTTTCACTCGGCTAAGTGAGCTCTAACTGCAGACACATTACATTTTAGAGGGAGAGCTTATCAAGCTTGATGGAAATGATCCAACCATCAGCATTTTCTATATTTTTTTTGACATGATGGCAGACCAGAGTAGAGCAGAGCCTGAATGGTTTCACATTTTTCTGCTTTGTTGCGGATGCAAAATGTGGCGGAGGTAAGAAGACAATACGTGTGCTTCTTGATCCCCTCTGTGAAGGCATGGCGAGTTCTCTCATATTCTTCCTCTGTGTTTTTTTTTTTTTCAGGAGATCTGAGAAGTAAAAGCACAAATTATAATAATTTGCTTATTTCAGTGAAATTTTCATGAGGGCCTGCCTATTACATACATGTGAGTGTGCTAGTGTTTTTTCACATTTTGTGAATGCATGAGCATCTCTGTGTCTGGCAATACTTCTTTAATAAGGTCTGGAGTCTGCTTTGTGCCAGAGGGACCCGCAGCTGAGATGGCAGGCTTACCTCAGAATGAAACCAATCTGTTAGCCTGCTCTTCCCCCCCTTACAATGCTCCGTTTTTGCTGTCCATAAAGTTAAATGACATTTTCCTCCCTCACCCTTATGCCCACGTCAGGTGCCTCCTGAGATGTTGCAGGCTGACCTAGATGTCACTGAATGTGTGTGTTGAGTGAGGAAAAAGATCTTTCTTGGCGGAGGCAAACACCAAGACATCCGTATTTTAACCCTAGACTGCTTCAGGGGCCTGTCTCGGAGCATCAGTGGGAAAAGGCCCCCAAAGCAAGAGCTGTAAGGCTTCAAACTACAGAAGCATTGATGAGTTTTTGTGACAGGAAACCTTAGTCTAATGATATATATTAAAGATGGACATGACTGTGAGATATTATCAAAAGGTGTAAGAAGAGAATTTCAAATATTTATTTCTAGTGTTCCTGTCATGTGACCCTAACCCCTAAGCAAAGCAAATTTGTTGTCAGTTACTTTGGTGAGGAGATGTTGTCCTGTGTGTGAGAGAAAATAATTGCTGTGAAGCAAGATTGTTTATTCCTTTTGAAACAAGGACAAAATAATTGAACCTTTCTAGCAGTTTTTCAGTATTTAGAGTAAGGGTTCTACTAGAGCTGTGTGTTTTCAAAATTATTGAGATCCTTTGTCTTTAGCCTCACAGTTTTGAAAATCACATTTCTGTCCATGACAGGAAAGCTGAGGAAGCTAAAGGGGTAAAAAAGAGCAACTATACTGTAAAACAATTTGCCTTGTTGTTATCTACCGAAAGTTTCTCCATCCTCTTCAGCCTAAATGATCCGCAAGGTTTTCCCAACATATTGCAGGAAAGACTAGCCT